ATGGAAACTAATCAAGGAGAGAAGCAACCTAAAACTAGGGAGAAATTTCCTGACAGTGAAAACAATTAATCAGTGGAACAATTTGCCTCCAGAAGTTGTGAATGCTCCAACACTGGAAGTTTTTTAAGAAGAGATTGGACATTTGTTTGAAATGATATAGGGCTTCCTCCCTGAGCAGGAGGTTGGACTAGAAGAGCTTCAAGATCCCTTCCAACCCTGTTATTCTGTATATATTGTATGTACTGCTGAGAGTCAACCTACCACTTCAGTATACCTGAAAGCTATCTAATCTAAATAATGTGTTGCATGAGGTAAAATTAAATCCAGAGAAAATGGAGGTAATATTAATAACGAAAGAGTTTGTCTCCAGGATACAGATGAAGCTTGTTTGAGATTGCGCTGCACTCCCTCAGAGTAGTCTTGTAGTTTAGGAATGTTCCAGATGTCACTGTATTTGCACGTGCTGGCTGTGATAAGGATTACAATTGCAGAACTGCAGTTAGAATGCCAACTGCAGATTTTTGTGCAGGTTGGGACTTAGTGACACTTATCCAATCTTGGTTACAACCTATTTTGATTGATGCAAAGTTGTTTCTGAACTACTACTACAATAAGTATCCCAAATTTGCAATTGGATGAACATGGAGATGCAAGACAGATGACCATTCACTGCATAGGAATATATAATGTATACAGTAATCTGAAAGATCTGCAGCAGCTTCTAGTTGTCTACATAGCACAATTTAATATATTTGTTATTACCTCTAAAGGTCTGAAAGACTTAAGCCCATATTATCTGTGGGATAAGTCTCCAGTTATAAACCATCCCCATTAGTCTGCTTCCATCCATAGAAGAATTTATTCTGAAGGTGCCCTATTTCCAGAAGCTTGACTGTTGGAAATATGGAAAAAACAGTTCTTCTCTACAGTATATCTCTATATCTCCCAGTATGACTCCCATCTCCCAGTATTTATACAGATAGTAAAAGTTCATCTATTTTGTTATTTTTAATTGCTTTAATTTTTATTTTAATTGTACGAATTTTGTTCTATGCTTTGTACTTCTATTGTATGCTGACATGAATGTTAAAATAAAAAGAAAAGTAAGATATAAATTCAATTATGGAAAAACATTTCATCATCAGAAACTCATAAGTCCTAAGCATTGCAGAGTTGGTATGATATACTGTAACAGGAGTCTGAATACTTTCAGATTAGCTCAAGTTACTAGGGAACATGAGCTTTTCTTTTTGTGCCCAAAGCAAGAACAAATTAAATAAGAGAAGGAGGATGGAAGGCAAGCCCACAATTCCATCCTATAGTAGATTTGTAGTAGATCTTTTGCAGATATTATCTGGGAGAAGAACTATTTATGGAAAGTGGCAAGGGAAGAAATTTTTAAGCTTTTCCTACTATGTTTGGTATTCTGACTCATAATCAGATCCCCAGTTATTTATTCCAGTCTGAAAGGAAACAAAAAGCTGTTATAAACTGAATACATCATTTAATTTAATTCTCAATTCTCTTGGTTCAGATTCAATAAAATGTTCAGGACTTTTCAGTCTTTCTTAACCAATTCATAAAAATAGTTTCAGAAGGCTCACATAGTCAACCTTGGATATTTTCTTCTATCTAGGACAAAAAAAGAAGTATCTTCAGTTGTTATTTAAAAACCAACTTTTTTTCTATCAACTTAGACTGTGCTGGCTTCTTTTCTATCAATCTAGACTCCGCAGGGTTAAATTCATGGAGTGATTTCCATCATATTTCTTGGAATCTGTCAACTCAACTTAATCTAAGGACAGAGTGATAGAGTCATGCACACTTGCAATAATATTTGGCATCCTTGAAGAGCCATTCAAGTAGAGCCAAGACAAGAATCTATGTCAGTCAAGGCCTGTCCTATCCTATTTGACCTAATCCAACCTGTTGCTTTGCAGGTAAACTCCTGTAAAATTCTTACAAAATGGCTCTGAGTGCCATAGTTCTAAACAGGGTTGTCAAACTCGCAACTTCATGTGACGTGTTGCGAAGTATCACGACTTTTTTGCCATTGCCGGCAATGGGATGGGCATAATTTTGCTATGATGCATCCAGCCCATGGGCCAGCAGTTTGACACCCCTATTCTAGAACTTTGTAGAAATTTTAAAAGCAATTAAATGCACTCACCACTCTTCTTGAGCAGATAGTATTCAAGAATGGAAGGTCTGCCCAAAAAGAATTCAAGAAGGTGAGTATAATTATGTGATCAAAAACCCTACTCCACTTTACATGAATTAAAACCTGCCAAAAATGCCTCTAAACTTTCAGTGGGGCAGTGGAATTGATACCATAGCAAGTACTAGATGACTTCCAAGGTCCCTTCCAACTCTGTTTATTCTGTTCTGTTCTGTTCCATTACATTACGTTACGTTACATTGCATTACATTATATTATGTTACATTATGTTACATTACATTATGTTATGTTCTATTCTATTCGGTTCCATTCTATTCCATTCTATTCCGTTCCATTCTATTCCATTCCGCTCCACTCCACTCCACTCCATTCCACTCCACTCCACTCCACTCCATTCCATTCCATTCCATTCCATTCCATTCCATTCCATTCCATTCCATTCTATTCTATTCTATTCTATTCTATTCTATTCTATTCTATTCTATTCATAAAAATAAATATTCTGGCCTGGAAGTGATTATATCCTAATTTGTTTTGGAGATTTACCTATTGGCTCCTTTTTTTGGAAAAAAAACCCAGGCTATCAAATCTGACATGTTTTATCAGGACCACTAATTTTTATACTTCTTTGTACTAGTTTCTATGACTACTGACTGCTTTTATATTTTTTTCTTACAAACTGTTTTACTGTAATTTTTGTTGCCAGTTTCATAAATGTTTGTACTGTGATTTTATTCTTTGTAGGCTGCACTAAAGATTAGATATAAATCTAAGGAAGAAAGAGAGACCATAACATCCTTATGACTGGCAGATGCGATGAAGCAGAACCTTAGGATTTAAAAAAAAATAGCTTGTGATTTTAGACACAGGAGCCATAGACCAAGAAACCACATTTTAGCCCAGCAGTGTTGTATGACCTCAACCGATGTAGGTAGTTCATGCTAGAACATTTCTGTTGGCTTGTAATTCAAAGTCAAGCAAACTGTGCAACCCCAATTAATGTGTTTCGTAATGGTAGTGTTTGTAAGAGGAAAATAAAGAAGGTTTATCTAGTAACGTGGGTTGGTTCATTCAAGGTGCTAAACCACAATGTTTATTTGTTTTTAACTTAGCATTATTTGCTGGCTTGTAAAAGGAAAAAAATGGTTTAAAAATTACATAAGATGTAAAAAGATGTGAACCTACCTAGAGTGCATATAGCTGAATTCCCTGAATTCACATGTTTCGGGAAATATTTAAAAAGTGGCAAATAAGAAATTTAAATAGTACTTGTAAAAGGCAAATACATTTGTTCACATAAATTGTAATCTTTGAGCTTTAGGAGGTTTATGGAGGTTCATGAAGATCTCCAAACAGAAATACATGCCGGGAGGGGAGGAGAGATTTCAGTATTTCCACTCCTTTAAAATTCTGATTTACTTTATCTTCTTCTTCTTGTGCCATATCCATTATCAGACGTTGGCAATCATGTTGACAATCCTGTTTTATCAGCAGCCGCACGAAAAAGTGCTGCTGAGTTTTGTCCAAACCAGTCCTTTAGATTTTGAAACCACGATGTTCTTCTTCTGCCTGGACCTCGTTTGCCTTCAATCTTTCCCTGGAGGATTAAATGGAGTATGCCGTATTTTTCTGGGTGTCGCATCACAGGTCCGAAATATTCTAACTTTTGTTTTTTAATTGTTTTGATGATTTCCCTTGGCTTTCCCAGGCAGCTTATCACTTCTTCATTTCTGATCTTGTCAGCCCAGCTTATACGTAACAGCCGCCTGTAAATCGACATTTCAAATGCTTCTAGTCTCTTCAGGTGGCCTTCTGTCAGAGACCAACTCTCTACTCCATAGAGCAGGATAGAAAAAATATAGCATCTGACAAGCTTGATTTTCAGTCTTAGGCTTATGTTGTAACTGCAGAAGACCTTTTTCATTCTGAAGAATGCTGTTTGAGCTTTCTCTATCCTAGTCTCTACTTCAGTGATCATGTCCCAGCTTTTATGTAAATTAGAACCAAGATGCGTGATCCTTTCAACTTTTTCTAATGGTTTTCTGAATTTATTGGTGGTAAATTAATGGGTTGTTTGCGGACGATCATGATCTTGTTTTTTGCGGTGTTAAACTTCAAGCCGTATTTTTCAGATATTTCTGTGACTCTGTTGATGAGGAGCTGAAGGTCTTCATGCTTACTGGCAAGCAGAACTGTATCGTCAGCATATCTGAAATTGTTGAGCCAAACACCATTTACTTTGATGCCAGCATCAATGTTCTCCAGTGCCTCATTGAAGATTGACTCAGAGTAGATATTGAACAACAGTGGAGACAGAATACATCCCTGTCTGACCCCTCTTCTTATTTCTGCATCAGCTGAGTATTTTTGGCCTAGTCTCACATTTCTTACCTGATGCCAATACAGATTCTTTATTAATTGGATGTCTTTGTCATTTAGTCCCCCTTGTTTCAGGATTTATAATAGTTTGCTTTGTCTTATTTTATCAAAAGCTTTTTTGAAATCAATGAAGCACATGTAAACACTGTGATTGACATCTCTACAACACTGTACAAGAACCTGAATGCTGAACAGCGCATCTTGTGTACCAAGATTGTTTCTGAAATCAAATTGTGTGTTACCTAGACACTCTTCAATTTTGTTGTATATTCTTGTGTGAATTATTCTCAGGAATATTTTCAGGACATGACTCATTAAGCTTATTGTTCTGTATTCAATACACTTCTTTGCATTTATTTTTGGGGGATTGTCACAAAGATTGATTTTAGCCAATCATTTGGTATCTTTCCTGTTTCATATACCCGACTGAAGAGCTGCAGTAAAAAATTATTCCCATTGTCTTCCAGAAATTTTAAAATTTCTACTGGGATATCATCAGGTCCTGTGGCTTTTTTTGTTTTTGCTATTTTTATTGCATGTTCCATCTCCTCCATAGTGATGTTTGGTCCAGTTGTTATACTTCCCATATCTATATCATCCCTAGTGTCCTCAAAAAGTTCTAAAATATATTCCTTCCATCTTTTTAGTTTTTTGTCCTCATCTAAGATAATTTCCCCTCTTTGTCAACTAAGTTGTTGGTTTTCTTTTTGTAGAGGCCTGCTGCTTTTTTCACTTTTTGTGTAATTGAAATTATCATGTATACGTTCTGTATCTTCTAGTTCCTTGCATCTCTTTGCAAACCACTTTTGTTTTGCCAGTTGAATTTTTCTTCTAATTGTTTTCTGCAATTCATGGTATTTTTCTTTTTTTTATTTGTATAAGATCTTCTTTCATCCATGAAAAATTTATTTTATGTACTTCCCTCATTGGCACATATTCCCCCAAATATTCCCCAAAAGGTTCAATTTCCTTCATCTGGACAGGAAGGAATCCGGGTCAAAAATATCCCCTGTTTGGTTCACAAACAATTATTTGCAAGAATTATGTGTCATTTTCTAGAGTCAATTTGTGAATAATATCATGTACCTTCTGTACTGATGACAAAGTGAATACCCATAAGCTATATATGGTGAAGGTAGAGACTGGATCTTTGCAAACATTCTGCAAAGGGCATATTATAACTTTTTCACTGAAATATATGAATATAAAATGGTGCAGTCAGAAAATATCCACAAGTACCACCTGGTAGAATAGAAAATCCCAGCCACCTGGTACCTAAAAATCTGTTATAGTTACATTTTATTTCACACAGATGATAAAAAAATAGAGATGAGCTATATTATTTATGCTTATGGTGTATCATTTTTGAAAACAACATGTTATATCCAGACAGTTCTGTCATCACCATGTCATCTGAAGAGTTGCTTTTATCATCACCACATATTGTTTTCACAGCATGCATTATTGACATGGGATTCTTACAATAGCTAACTCCTGAACTGAAACAAACTGACTTCACAGCAGTTAAAGAAGTATGCTAACCTTCTTGCTATCACAACTTAGCTATGACCATGCTTACAAGCCTATGTAGCATAAGCCCTTTGCATAGTGACCTTCCATTTAGGATTATAGAATGACGAAAATAGTTAAAAGGTTAAGATTACTTATTATGGTTCATTCTTAGGTGCTCTGTCTTGAAAAATATAATATAGGGGTATTTTTAGGCAACTCTTCAGGGATTCCCAGGATAGCTGTTCCAGAGGACGAGAACAATTCTCCAGCACATTGTTGCAGATGCTTCCCCAGCAAAGATGCCTCCTTGGAAAAAGAGAAAAAAACCAGAAAAGTCAAGATGGCAGTCCTGAATGTTCTGTTGAACTAGTCATAGCTATCATCGAATTGTGTGTGTGTGTGTGTATGTGTGTGTGTGTGTGTGTGTGTGTAAAAACAAAGTGGAGCTGTGATACCAAATTGCAATTTAATTTTCACCCCCACACTGCAGATGTCCCAATTCAGGCAAAATAGTTATAGACAAATCATGATGCATACAATTAAGACCTGAAGATCCTAGTAATATGGGGGGAGGGGGAATTAAATACAAGAAAAACTGTAATGTGTATTTATCTTTGCATGTATGTTCATTGGCTACTACATCAAATGTAGTACAGAACAATGCAAGTGGATTTAAACCAAAAATAATCCCCTGTTGAGCAGTTTGCCTTTCTCCCTGAACACAACCTTTGGATGTATCAGAATGAAAATGAAAACTTGTATATCTGGGCTACACCATGTTTGGTTGATGAGAAATCACTTATTTCAATTATCTCTGATACAGCAAAGTCTCTTTAGTGATGTCAAGAAGATATTCTAATTTTGTTTTATTAGGTTTTTGTGAACAGAGAATTTACATTCAAATATGTAAATTCCAATTCTCTTTTTTCCCTAATTTGAAATGATGCAGACAGGAAAAATCTTTATAATTTAAGATGGAAGAATTGATCTAATGCATAATGTGAAAATTATCAACAGGTATGGCTTTTTTAGTACAGATAGTCCTCGACTTACAAAAATTCACTTAGTGATCATTCAAAGTTACAGTGGCACTAAAAAAAAGTAACTTATGACCATTTTTCACACTTAGCATCCCCATGGTCACGTGATCAGAATTTGGATGCTTGGCAACTGGCTCATATTTATAATGGTTGCAGTGTCCCGAGATCAAGTGATCCCCTTTTGCAATTTTCTAACAAGCAAAGTCAATGGGAAAACCAGATTCATTTAACAACCATGTTACTAACTTAACTGCAGGGATTCACTTAACAATTATGGAAAGAAAGGTCATAAAATGGGACAAAATTCACTTAAAAATATTTTGCTTAGCAACAAAAATTTTGGGCTCAATTGTGTGGTTGTAAGTCAAGGACTACCTGTTACAGTGTGGGTGACAGAAATATTTCTGCCCTTCTAGCTGTTTCCTGACATCTGTTCTTTCTTATTGTTATTGTGTTATTAGCCTGGAGTGAGCCAAGAATAAGTCATAAATAAAGCAAAACTTTGCAATAGATAGGTATTAACAAAGCATATCAATTTTAAATTAAATTAAATAACTAGATGTAAAAGTTTCCTTTTTTCAGTAGTGTTAGAGATTCTCAGGAAGGATGACAAGAATTAACAACTATTCAGTCTGTAATCTTGAACAGACAAGCAACTTTTGATTCAAATGATGATTTTTTTATCAAAGTAAAATTAACTATAACGGGAAGTTTAGGAAGAAATCAGAGAAGGGGAAAAAAACAGATTCTTTTTCTCCACCTACCCATCTTCTCTAAATACAACAGCTGTGGGTGGATCAGAAGTTGCAGGACACACTTACATAAGATTGGCACCCATGCATTTTGGCTTTCTTTACATGCCAGCTATCCAGGTTTTGGGGGACATCCTCAATAGTTGTTTTAACATGTTAATCAAAACAAAATGTGTCCCTTTTAGCTTCTTAGATAAATATCAAGTCCCATGTTGTACACTGGTCAGTAAAAATAGACATACATTTGTTTGAATGCTTCTTCTTATAAATCCAGTTCAATATCAGAAGAATCAAGAGAGGGGTGGAAAGTGTAAAAAGAAAAAATCAAGATGGTAAACTATTTTCTTCACCATGGACCTCCTTTAAATACTTTTTGTGGCCATAGACCTTAGCCACAAGATATAAATCATAACATTTCTTAAAGCTTCATGGATCCCCTGTGATGACATCATGCTCCCCCCAGGGGTCTGTGGACTAGTGCTGTAGAACATCAGCTTTACTGGAGTACTGTATTTTTACATGTATAAGATGCTATTTTTTTGCCTGCAAACACCCTGTTCAAAAATCAGGTGCGTCTTATAAAAGTGCATCTTATACACAGAAAAATAATGGTAATCTCCGCAGCCCAGGGCATGCCTGTATGGGTTGCCATGCTGCCTGGTGCAGGTATCAAGCCCCTGTGGGCTTGCCACTAATGGGGGGGAGGGGGGCAAGATCGTCGGCCAGCTGAACTTCTGGATTTGCTGGCTCAGCTGTTCAGCACTCTGCATGAGAGAAACTCGCATCGGCATAGAGAAACTCGCATGCCAGAGCTTCTTATAAAAAGGTGCATCTTATAGATGGAAAATATGGTACTTTATTTCAGCAGAATCATGAAAATGATTGTCAAGGATGATTAAATAATACAGTTAGGACTGGTCCTTAGAACCAAACTCTTCCTGCTGATGTCACAAATGCCATCCCGAGCATTGTAGTCATATAAACAGTTTCAGAGACCAACCATTAGCAGTTGAACTGGTATTGGTATACTGAAGACCATCAAGACTGATATTATTTACTGAAATAACATTTCACCTTTTAGCAGAATCTTTATAGAAGATACAGACAGACATGCATACAAATACAACTACTTCAGTAATTCTTTTTATATTTAAATGTACAGAAACAAGCTCTATGCTATTTCTTTGTGGTACTTGCTATTAAGTGAATTTAAAATAATGTACAGAAGGCAGAACTAGACCAGGTTATTCCCAATTCTCATTATAATAAGATAACTAAGTTCTGGAAATGTGCAAGTTAAAGAAAGCTTGACTGTTCTATTATTTATACTATACTCTATAGTCTTCATCATGAAAAAAAAACCCAAAATGAGCCGAGGTGGCGCAGCAGTTAGAGTGCAGTACTGCAGGCCACTTTAGCTGACTGTGTTCAGCAGGTCAGCGGTTCAAATCTCACCGGCTCAAGGTTGACTCAGCCTTCCATCCTTCCGGGGTAGGTAAAATGAGGACCCAGAGTGTCGGGGGCAATGTAAATATATATATATATATATATATATACACACATTGCTTACTGGTGTACACCGCTTAGAGAGTGCTTGCACTTAAAGCGGTATATAAGTCTCATAAATAAATAAATAAATAAAATATATTATGATTCTTTTTACAGCTAGAATCTAATATACAGCCCTGTAATAATATGTAAATAATAGCCTAAATTATTTAGAAAGTTATATGCCTCATAACTTATATATGAACATTGGACAGCTAACAACAATAAATAAGAAAGATGTAATAAAACTTCTCTAAATGAAAGCTAAAGAAAACCCAGAATTAAAAGAATCATAGCATCAAAACTTCAGGTGTAATTTCTGAATTTTTGTCCCTGCCCCACACTCATCAGGTGCCTCAATCCCCTGAATTGGACTCTTAAGATAGGGTCTTCTTCCTGTAAAATATTAATAATGGATAAAACATAAAAGTCAGATAATTTTCTTTTTTCGCATTAAGTCAATGATTTTTAAGAATCAACTGAGGAATTTGAAAAAGAAAACAGGAATGTAGATGATACGTGTTTTAGTCATCCTTGAATCAGTGTCAGAATTATGGAGCCTTTCTAAAATCCACCGTGCTTTTAACAATCTATTTAAAGTTATGCCTAAATGAATGTATGGTATTCATTCTGGATATCTTCCTTCTTGATATTTCAATGTTGTTGGTGCTTTTTCATCTGCTATATGATCTGCAGTTTTTGTAATCCATGGAAGCACAAGACCAACAAAAATGGTCTTTTTACTACAGCAAAAACATAACCAGGCAAAATCAGGGAAACAAGGAAAATAGAGCTAAAAAAGCTCATACATACTGACATCCAACTATGTTAATCTATCTCAATAGAAACAACCATGAGAAATATTGATTTATTATGACATAAGATTTTTTCACTTTATAGTTTATTAAACATAAGCCAAATTTTAGAACAAAATTCCCAATGAAAAATTAAGAAAACAATAATAATCTGTGGACTTCATGGGACTTGTTAGTAGTTTGAATTTTGATTTAAGTTTCATCTCTAGGTTATTTTCGGTTTAAGGTGGCGTGTTGGGCCAATGGGTGACATATGACAATGTCCAGTATCTCTTACAATGCTGGCTCTTTAAATAGGCTGTATATGATGCATGAAATGTAATTTTACTGAGCAATGTTTTATTAACTGTTTAAAGATGTGAGTATTTAAAGCCAGAAATAAAAACTGAAGTTTTAAAGGTATTTAGTCATTTATTCCATTGTTTATACACATGATATTCTTGAAAGCATAGTTGAAAACTTTATGCAATCAGGAGTGACTAAAGAAAATATTTCTCCACTGAGATATGAATTATCAAAAAAAATCATATATTCTGATAATAGCTAATTGTTTATTTAAAAAAAAAAAGTCCTAGAAGGCTGTCAGTAGCTGGGAATCATGATAGCCAAATCATGTGGTACAGTATTTGCAAATTCAGAGACAAATACTGTATCTTAGTACTCATTTGCAGTTAGAAGATTTTAGCCTTATTTGGTGGAGTTATCTGAACTAGAGAACAGAATGCAGAGAATGTCAACAAAAAGTCATCATCAATGAGCTCTATGAGAACAAGAAAATAAATGGAACTCCAAATCTCCTTTTCTGCAAGGCAAAAGATCATTGAGGATTTGATTCCTAAGCAGGTAAAAAGTCAATTTTCACTTACAGGAAACATCAACTACTTTTTTAAATAGCTGTTTTATAGCTATTCCCAGAAATATAAATATATAGTTTCTAGCTGAGTTTACCCTTCTATTTCTGGGAGCATGATAGCACATCTGTTTCTATCATGATACCATGGGAGTAAGAACGATGATGTACCAGTTGCTGAGAAATAACAACAAAAAGAAACAATAGTCCAAGTCCAAACTTGTATTATAGGTACTAATTGTTTACAGTGAAGTATAAAGATACTATATAATGGTTTTCTCCAATGGCTCTTTGGAGTTAT